TTATACCGCTCTTCGCCCGTTAAGATGAGGCTGCGATGCCTCTTTTTATATCGAATCGATTCGCTCACTTCGCCGGCCCATGTTTTGCGCCTTGGAAGCCTTGTGGGGCTTCCTGGGAGCCTCTTCGGGCGCAAGGCTCGAGTTGTCGATTCGTGTACCCCGTCTTGGGCCCGTCTTGGGGCCGTTTTGGGGCTCTCTTGGGCTGTCGTGGGCGCCTCTTGGGCCGTTTCGGGGCCGTCTCGAGATGTCTTGGGACTTTCTTGGGGGCCGCCTTGGGGCGGTATTGGGGGCCCCTCGGGCCGTCTTGGAGCTTCGGATGCTCGAAAAGGCGATAGCGTGAAACACATTGAAGAACATAGTGCTCGTGTTCTTATTCATCGTTTTGCCGATCGGCGCGTGCCCTCGCAACCCCCTTCCCCCCCCATGGAGTAGATCTTGGCTGTTTTTGGCGCCTGTTTCGAGCAGGTGGAGTCTCCCCCATAGGACGCACTGCTGCAAAAAGCCGCACTAAGCAGAGGTCCAGAGCCAGCCCCCCACTCTCCCCCTCTTTCCGCCCAGTGTCGAAACGCCGAATAAGAAAACGCTCGCATAATCAAAATCACTGAAGTTTGTCTCTGTGGGCCCTCTTGGGGGACTTGGGGCTTCTTTGGGTCCTCTTGGGCTGTCTTGGAGGCACCTTCGGCCATCTTGGCGGCTTTGGTGGCCTCCCTGGTCTGTCTTGGAAGCCATATTGGGCATCTGGGGCGCATCTTGGGCGCATTAAGAGCGCCTGGAACCGGTCCTACTGTTGTGCATGTGTTGTAGGTCAGAATCGTCAGGGTTGCTCGTGGCGAGCAATAAGGAAGATGAGGACGAGGACGAGGAGGAGGAGGATGAGGAGGCCTCTCGATCGCTTCTTGAGGCATTTGGGGGCCGAGCTTGATCGTGGACAAGACGCCTGTTTGGGAGGCTACTTGGGGTCTCTTGGGAGGCTTCTATTTTGGGGACCACCTGGGGCCTCTTGGGGGCCTCTTGGGGCCTATTGCGGCCTTCTAGGAGCCTCTCGGGGCCGAGAGCTGAAATGTGCGTTCGGGTGCCTCGTCAGGGCCTTCTCTTGGAGCTCTCTTGGCTGCCTCTTGGGCCGTCTTGGAGGGCTCTTGGGCTGTCTTCGGGCCCTCTTGGGCCGTTTTGGGGCCCTCCTGGAGGCGTCTTGGGCCGTAATGGGGCGATCTTGGGAGCCTCTTGGGCCGTCTTGCAGCGCGGGTACGTAAGACGGAAACGAGAACGCCAAATCTTTGAAGAACCGCAGAAAATCCATTACTTTGGGCCTCTGGGGGCCTTTTTGGGAGGGCTCTTGGTGGCCTCTTGGCGCGTTTGAATGGCGTCGTGAGCCACATGAAGGCCACATTGGGCGTCTTGGACCGAACGTTCGACGACAGGGAGCCCTCTTGGTCCGTCTTGGGGGCCCTCTTGGAGCGCTCTGGAGGGCCTGAAGGGCGGCGCCCAGAAGGAAAACCATCTGTGATCCGCACGGGCCAGGGTACTTGTCCTGGGAACCCCAGGGGCCGGCCCGCGCGCGCGAAGTAGAACTATTGTAAAGCAGTTTCCGGAGATCGTAGCACGCCTCTGGCCCGATGGGCCGGCGAATTGAGCTGGCTATGATGCCTATTCGTGCCCAACCCGTCCCGTCTTCAGGGATTTTGCATCCCACTATGATAGTTGGATGGGAAGACCGGCCGCCACCCCCAGCACTGTACGCACGGTGCCAGGTTCGTTGGAATTGGCCCCCGGCGGTCCTCATTGGTAAGGCCTGATGGTCCTCACCGTTGGGGGGCGGAAGACGAATACCTGAGAAGAGCAGTGAGGGAAACTAAAACCACCGTCCAAACCCAAGCACGATTGCACCCACGATCACAAAGGAGCGGGCGGTCCACAGGCGGGGAGTCACGCCGCACCCGCCGCCACCTCTCGGCATCACGCCCCCGTCGAACACCTCGCTCCTATCCCCCTGGGCAGCCCTTGAAGAGGCAGCACAAGCCCCACGTACGCACACCCCCGCACTCGTGCAGCTACGCCCACTCGTACTGGTAGTCTTAATGGTGGTCGTTGTCGTCGCCGAAGTCGTGGTCCTCGACGTCCGTGGTCGGTGCTAGGATCGTGGGGATTTGCCCCCGCACCGCAGCCCCTATGATGGAAACTGCGGAGGGTATGAGGCTTCATGGCGGTCCTCACTGGTAAGGCCTATGATGGTCCTCACCGTTGGGGGGGAAGAAGGATACCTGAAAAGGGCCGTGAGAGACACGAACACCACCGTCCAAACCCAAGCACGAGAGAACCCACGATCAAAGGAGCGGGTGGACCACAGGCGGGGACTCACGCCGCACCCGCCGCCACCTCGCGGCGTCACGCCCCCGTCGAACAGTTCGCGCTTATCCGCCTGGAAGCCCTTGACATAAGAGGCAAAACGAATAGCTTGGAAGCACCCCCCCGCACTCGTGTTGCTGCGTCCACTTGCACTGGTGGTCACAGTCGTGGTCGTCGTCGTCGTCGTCGCTGAAGTCGTCGGTGCCAGGTTCGTTGGGATTTGCCATAGTAGCGCCTGTGATGGAAGCTGCGGAGGGTGAGACCTCATGGCGGCCCTCACTGGTAAGGCATTGAAAGCGGAGGCTTGTGACGGTCCGCGTGGACCTCCAGTAGTTCATTCTGATGTTTTTTGGTGGGCCTCCTACTTGGGGGAAGATTTCAGGCCACCGCCCCCGCGTGCGCACCTTGTGCTGGATCAGTATGTTCGTCGGGGTGGTGTGCAAAATCGTGTCCCCAGAGGGGGGGCGATTATTCACACAGCCCCTCTCCAAGGTCTTGTGCCAGACCAGCTTGTTCGGGCTGGTGCTGTACGACAGTGCTGCTCCCACCTATAGAGAAGATCGGGTAGTGCCCAAAGAAGGGCGACGCGCTCCGATCTTCCCTGTGGGTCGGCACTCGCAGCAGCGCGCGGACAACCCGAGCGGTGGGTTCGGGCCGGCGCTGGGCGTGGGCGTTGCCCGAGCGAAGTTGGGCGGCACGGAATGGACGGGACGTTCAAGGCCTCGAGGACGGCAACGTGGAGAGCAGGGGGGTTGGAAGGATGCGGGACGAGGGCGGGGGAGAAGTAAGGTGGAGGGGGGAGGACGCGGAGGCGGCCGAGGGTCAGCATGGGATGACGAGGAGGAGGATGAGGAGACGGAGGAGGAGGCGGAGGGGGAGGAGAAGGACGAGGAGGAGGAGGAGCACCAGTGTAAACCCAAGACCCATCAACGATGTTGGAATACACCCTCCCTCGCAAGGGTTCATTTCCACTGATGGAAGTGCCCCTTTGGGAGGCAACTGTTTGAAGATCCTGACGCGTGCCAAAACACCATTCCCGGGACCCAACCGCCACACATCAAGTTGATGTTTGCGTTTTGAAGATCCAGAATCGCTCCAGAACGCCAGTCCTGAGACCTCAACACTGCGTCTCAATTGAATTGTTACGCGCTGACAATCCAGAATCGATCAAAAGCACAACATTTTGGCAATGGCCGCTCTCAGTTCGTGAACACTTGCAACTTGTTAAGTCGAGCGCGCGCGGTGCTAAAGCGAGCAACATTTCGAAACCGACCCGCCCTCAATCCGTGAAGCTGTTCGGATCGTTTTTCGATTGATGTCCGCGGCGCTACGGCGAGAACCACATGTTAAATCGGCCTGCCCTCCACCTGATTTTATTTAATCGCTTCGCTCATTCCGCCGGCCCATATTGTCGCACAGTTGTGGGCTAGCCGAGTTTTGGGGCCTCTTGGGGGCCGTTTTGGGGCCTCTTGGGGCCTCTTTTGGGCCTCTTGGGCGCCTCTTGGGGCGTCTTGGGGGCCTCTTGGGGGCCTCTTGGGGCCTTTTTGGGGCCTCCTGGGCGCCTTCTGGGGCGGAGGGCTCGATTTTTCAGTTCTCGGTTCCCCTCTTGAGCCCCTCTTGGGCCCGTCTTGGGGCCTCTTGGTCCGTCTTGGGCGGCACTTGGGCCGTCTTGGGGGCCCTCCTGGGCCGTTCCGGGGCCGTCTTGGGAGCCTCATGGGCCGTCTTGGAGCGGTCTTGGGGGCCTCTTGGGCCGTTTGGAGCGTCCGGAAGCCGAAAAAGCCAGAACGCAAAAAACACCGGAAAAAACAATGAAAATCAACGATTTTGGCCTCTTGGGGCCCTCTTCGGAGGCCTCTTGGAAGGCCCTTGGGGCGTCTTGGAGGCCTCTTGGGCTGTCTTGGGGCCCTGTTGGGCGTCTTCGGGCGATCTTTGGCCGTCTCGGGGCCCTCTTGGACCGTCTTGGAGGCTTCTTGGGGGCCTCTTGGCCCGTCCTGGGGCCCTGTAACAGGGCTCCGGCATCTCTGGCCCGACCTTGCGGGGACCTTGCCGGGGACCTTGCCGGGGACCTTGCCGGGACCTGGTCGGGGTACTTTTCGTCTGGGGACCCCCAGGGGCCGCCCCGCGCGCGCGAACTAGAAATACTGTTAACCAGGTACCGGAGATCTTAGCACGCCCTGGCCCGTTGGGCCGGCGAATTTTAAGACGAGTGTGCGTGGCTCTATGGTAGGAGCCACGTATTGACAACGCCCCGCCGTCATTCCATGAAGCTCCTGCATGTTCCTAAGACGAGTGTGGGCGGCGCGAAGGCGAGAGCCACATGTGGAAAAATTGCCTCCCTTAATTCGTGACTCTTGCGCGAAGTGCTAAGACGGATGTGCGCGGCGCTGACGCGAGTGTCACATATTGAACATCTCCCGCCCTCATCTGCGGAATTGCTCCCAAGTTTTGAGCTTCAGGATCATAAATGGTAAGGGAGTCTCCAGCGAAACGCCTGGCCCGCCCTTCCGACTGGCCTTCGGAAGGGGCAGGGAGGAGTTTCTTCAGCAGGGAAAGGAATGGAGAAGGAGGAGGAGGTGGAGGAGGAGGAGGAGGACGAGGAGAAGCAGGACGAGGCGGATAAGATGGAGGAACTCTCCTTTCTGGCAGCGCTCCGCCAGGCGAAAACATCATACTGGACCAGACGGGCATGGCCGCCTCGCTGGAGTGGGGCTGGACGACGGAGGAGGCGGAGCGGCGCGTGATGCTCAACGGCGACGGTGACATGCTGGCGAAGTGTTTCCGGCAGCCATGGGGGAGGGCTGGGGGGCGGCTGCAGAGCGAGGGCGAAGAGTTGGAGGAGGGGGTCCGCAGCCATTTCTGGATCAAATCGGCAAGCTCCCCCGCGCCCGAGGAGCGGGCCCGCGGGGCCTGTACCTCGGCGGCGGCGGCCACGAACGAGGCCGACCCGCGCGATGGCCCACTTCAGCCGCGCTGGCGCGTCTTGGCGGCGGCGGTGCGGGAGCGGCGGGGCCCCGAACCCGGAGGCCCCGATGCCCACACCGCCGCCAGCGCAACATGCGTGTTTTTGTTACGCCGACGCCAGCGCCCGCGAGGGCACCAGGATGGCCAAGGACTTGGCCGCGCTCTTGGCTGACAGCCCTGTCTCACTCGGCACCGGGGGCGGTACGTGTACACTCACGTCCGTTGGCGCGTGCACCAACACCAACACCCAGACGGACGCATTCAAGCTCAATCGGGAGGCTGCCGTGTTCGCCCCCGCTCGCCCGCCTGGCTGCTGGCACCCGGAAGGCGGGGATGGAGGTTCCCCCCACGAGACCGGCTTCATTTTCGAGGGCGGCGGCACTGATGACAGCGCCTACACCTGCTGGCTGCCACAGGTGCTGCCGCGCCAGACCCGCGCGGCACTGAGGCCAACGGCCCTGTGGCGGCCAGATGCGGCGCCGAGCGCCGCGCGGAGGCCGGCCACCCTGCCGACGCCGAGGAACACGCCGCCCGCCCCGCCAGCTCCGCACGGCCGGCCGCGGCTGGGTGCTGGGCTGCGGTCGACGCCGATCGCTGGGCTGAGGCCAGACGCCGCGCAGAGGTTGGGCTCTGCGCCGAGGCCAAGCGCCGCGCGGAGGCCAGCCGCCTGTGCGAAGCATGCGAGCGCGCGGAGGCCGAGCGCCATGCGGTGGCCCGGTGCCAGCCCAGCACCGAGGCCGAGATCCTGGCAGAGGCCCATGCGCCGAGCGGCCGCCCGCCCCCCCGCCGTGGCAAGGCGCCCCGCCGCGCGGCGGCCCACCCCCTTGCCGAGGCCGAGGGGCGCGCGGCTTTGTAAAACGCTGGGCGGAGGCCCTCAGTCTCGCCCTGGCCGAGCACTGTGCCGAGGCGGAAGCGGAGATCGCAGGCCTAGAGGTTGACACCAACACCAATATCGACGGTGTTCCTCCACCGAGGGAAGAAGATCCCGATCTTGGTGATGGTGGTAACTTCCTGGCTTCCCAGGTGACCGAAATAGTACCACCAACGCCGAAATCTAGGATCATCTCCCCCCCGTAGAGGCAGCCCCCTGTCTTGGTGTTGGTGCCCGTTTCCAGGCCTCCAAGAAGAGCCCGGCGGCCGGCGCTGGCGGCCCCGCGCGGCCCGCTCCACCGCAGCTGGCCGCGCGAGGCGGCCCGCAGCCCGGCGCAGGCGGACGCGCCCCAACCAGGGACCAGCCCCGAGCTGCACAAGCGATGTGTGGCACGGAACGATGTAGCTGGTTTCGGCCCCACCGCGGGGCTCCACCGAGGGGCCCCCCGACGTCTTGGCCCCGCGAGAGCTTCGGCGACGCGGCGGGCGGCGGGGCGCACACCTTCGTGACTCCCGGGGAACAGACTCATCTGCACGAACGAGGTGGGCACGGAAAGGATGGGTACAATGCCCAACAGCGGATCTTGTTCATTTTGAACAGGACTCGCTGTCCACGCCGCCGCGGCATGTGTCCATTCATGACAGAAGGCCGCCTGCCCAACAGCGGCCGCTGTTGGTTTGGGGCAACACTTGTTGTTGGGCATTGTGCCCATTCTTTCCGTACCCATTTCGAGCGTCCAATCCCGAGGCAGCGGCGAGCGCGCAGGCCAAAGAAACCAGGGTCACCAACAAGCATGCCCAGAAGCGAGCGGCCCGCAAGGCTGCCGCGGCTGCCGAAGCCGCCGCCGCCCTTTAAGCAGCTGGGTTTGCCTTGGCAGACCGACAGCGGCTCGCCCTGCGCTGGAACAGCGCCCACCCGAGAGCCTGCAGAGGACGGCCACTACTGGGGCGGGGCGGGGGGACGGGCCACAAGGCCGCATCGCCCCGACCGGAGACAGCTGGACCTGTGATTGCCAGGTCAACTCATTCACACTTCATCCAGTGATCGACCAACTGCTGCTGAAATGATAAGAGATTGACCTAAAGCGCCCATCCTCTGCCGGAGTACCACACATCCGCCCGTGTACCCATCCCTCCTCGTCTTGAGCTCCCGCCTCTTCAGTGCATGCGCTGTCCGGTGATATGGTGGAACGTATATTGGGGTGGGCCGCGAGACCCCAGATTCAAGCAGTGGCGAAGCGTCCTCGCTCGCCTACAGCCCTACCAAACAATGTTCTAAGAACCTTTTGTTGTTTCCAGGAAGTGTTCAACACATCGGGAATTGTTTTTGTTCTTAGAACATTTTTGGGTTCTAAGAACATTTCGTGGTAGGACTATAGGAATGCCGGGACGGTCGGTCCCTGCTCAACAGACGCGCGGGCCGACCAGGCCAGCTGCGGCACAGCCTGCGCCAGCTTGCCTTCCCGCCATGCCCGCTGGACCGCAATCCAGGGCAACAGGCCCAGAGTGCGAAAAGAGTCCGTCTTTTCGGCCGAAGCCCACTTCGGAAGCTCGACCTGGACGGTTGGACGGCTTCGGGCCCCTCGGTCAGGGATGTCCGTTCCAATTTGACAGGCGAGCCCCCACCAACCTTGAGTCGGGCCTGTCCCTCTACAGGAGGAATATTCAGAAATAGTCTGAAATTATCCCAGTGCGACCTTACCTAGGAGTTGGAGCATTTAGGAAAGCAACATCTACATCTACACCGACAGCTACATTTACATCTCCATCTGCATCTACATCTACATCAACATCAACAGCGAGACTCACATATACATCTACACCTACAGCTACATCTACATCTACATCTACATCTACACCTACATCCACAGCTACACCTACACCTACACCTACATCTACATCTACATCTACACGTTCGCATTGGTTTTGTTTTTTGCGTTGCATTGCGCCTTCGTTGTTCCTCTTGCCTTTGCTAAGCTATGCTTTGGCATGATATGCTATGCTGTGCTGTGCTATGCTATGATATGATGCGTTATGCTATACTATGCTATGCTGCGCTATGTTATGTTATGCGATGCTGCGCTATGATATACGACGATATGGTATGATATGCGGTGCTGCGCTATGGCATGCTATGTTATGCCAGGTTGCGCTATGATATGATATGATATGATATGGTGTGCTATGCTATGCTATGCTGCGCTGTGCTATGCTAAGCAATGCTATGCTTTGATATGCTATGATATGCTGCGCCATGCTATGCTATGCTAGGCTATGCTATGCTGCCCTATGGTATGCTATGCTACGCTATGCTTGGCTATGGTGTGCTATGCTATGCTGTGCTAATGCTGCGATGCGCTTTGCTGCGCTAAGCTACGGTAAGCTAAGCTATGCTAAGCTATGCCAAGCTAAGCTAGGCTAAGCGAACTCCAGCTAAGCTAAGGTAAGCTATGCTATGCTAAGCTAAGTTAGGCTAGGCAAAGGTAAGTTAAGCTAAGCTAAGATGAGATAAGCTAATCTAAGCTTAGCCAAGCTAAGCTAAGCTTAGCTAAGCTAAGCTAAGCTGTGTGAACCCAAGGGGCGCAACTGGGGGAACCGCGGGGCGGATGCCGGGGGAACCGCCCGGGGCGGGTAGCACTGTCCGGCCCCTTTGAGCTCTAAGGTAAGAACCCTTCTAGGCAGAGCCTAGGTAGGGAAATCGTCGGGGGACTATCTTTTGACTATTTTTGAGCATTTGGTGAGTATTTTCTAGCATGTTTAATGTTTCGCCCAGAATCCCGCTGTAGGGAGACAGGCCCGACCTGACATCAGTTGCGAAGACAGCCGAATGCGAAGACAGCCGGGCGCCCACGGCTGCCGCGCTGCCGCGTGGCACGGGGCACCCGATGTGGGAGTGCGGGATGGATGGGAGCGTTGGGGCCTTCGGGTCGGGCATGAGGAGGACGCACTTGTCCTTATGCGCCGATATTCAGAGCGTGAATTACCTACCCCGCTTTCGCTTCCAGGTAAAACCAAGCCATACCACGCGCCTCCTCGTCAAGCGGCCTGACCAGTACAGGCTGCAACTTGGCATCGTTTGGTATCTCTTGGAAGCGAGGGTGGTCAAACACGAGGTAGTTTGTTTCTTGTTCCCTAGATATCGGAAACTGGAACATATACATTACCAGTGGCGGGCTGTTCCTCAATCCCAGGACTTCTTTGGAGGGTCAGGGACGACGTCGGAGTGGTGTGGTGTATACTTCTTTCCCCGCTTTCCCCGGGGAACAACGAAGAATGTGTATACACCAGGATCCCGTATACACCAGGATCCGCTCTCCAGTGCGAATTCCCATGCAGGGCTAGAACAAGCGTCTGTGTATAGAGTTCGATTCCCTACGATATACATCCAACGAGCCCTAGCTCCCCGATGACCCTTCTGGCGCACCCTCCCCCCCAGGTTTCGGGAGCCTTGAGACGGGGGTCAATGCAGACGGGGGTCAGCCAGGGCACCAGATCATGCAGGATCCTGCGAAGACCCCCTCTGGCTGACCCGGGTCAGCGAGCCGCTCGTGGCCGCGAGGCGGCCGCGCATATTGGTTGACCTGGGTTTGCGAAGATTTGCGTTGCAGTTTTTTTCCTGCATTGCAGTTTTTGGTTTCCAGCTGACCCGGGTCTGGATTGACCCGGGTCCGAAGATCCCCCAGGTGTGCCGCCATAGAGGAGCCCGGGCCTGCCAGGTCGGCATGCCGGGTCAGCAGGCGCTGATCTTTGCGTCATGCCCGCCGCTTCGATCGGGGAGGGGGCGCCAGGGGGTTCATCGGACCGTTGGGACCTGCTCCTTCCTACTCCTTCCTTGTCGTGCCTGCTGCCCCCTCCTCCTCCTCCTCCTCCTCCTCCTCCTCCTCCTTCTCCTCGCCTCCCGTATCCTCCTCCTCTAGGAGAGCCGCGGATGCGCGGGTGGTCGATGCCTCTCCCCATGCGTCCCTCTCGCTGATGCCGCCGACAGGCGGGTGGTCGAAGCCTTCAGCGATGAGCTCGTGGGACGGAGAGCCGCAGACGTGCGGGTGGTCGAAGCCTCTCGACACGAGCGCCCCCAGCTCGGCTCCCCCGACGGGGGGGTGGCCGACGCAGCCCAGCTGGGAAGAGGAATACTGGGAATCCCGACCGCGAGGCAAGGGGCGCAAGGCAAAGCCCGACATGGACCTCAGCTTAGCCTCGATCACGGCCACTAACGCCTCGGAAGAGGCCCCAGTGGCGCATGAGTGGAGAGCCGCGGATGCGCGGGTGGCCGAAGCCTCTCCCCATGCGCCCTTCTCGCTGGTGCCGCCGACAGGCGGGTGGTCGATGCCACCAGCGATGTGCTCGCGGAACCGAGAGCCGCAGACGTGCGGGTGGTCGACGCCTCTCGACACGAGCGCCCCCAGCTCGGCTCCCCCGACGGGGGGGTGGCCGAAGCAGCCCAGCTGGGGAAAGGGACGCTGGAGGCCCAGATCTCGAGGCAAGGGGCGCCACGCCAAGCCTGGCATGGTGCTCAGAGGCCTCAACGGCAGCGCCTGGGGCACCCTCGTCGACCACTTGGACGAGATGCCGCTGGGCAGAAACACCATCATGCTGGTGCAGGAGCACCGCCTCACCAGCGCCTACGTCGGCGAGATTAGTGCCAGCTGTTTCCAGAGGCACCTCACCGTCGCCCTCGCACCCGCAGCGGTGGGGCCAGGGGGCGGCAGAGTGGCTGGGGTGGGGATCGTCGCCCCACGCTGCGTGGGCCTCACCTACCTCGAAGGCGTGGACACCTTCGACTTCTCGCCGCCAGGATCGCCAGGAAGGCTGGTGGCGGCCTGGACCCCTGGGTTTCTTCGA